CTGCAGCACACGATGAATTATGAGCCCCAGGCAATTTCTTTTTACATCACACTTTGTTTTATATGGCAGAAAATGTGTTTATCTTTGAAATGTACATTTCAATAAACAAGGCACTTAACCTTATATATGAGATGTTTCCTTCGAATTTCTGGGATACATCTAACTATAGAGCAGCTCACTGATGTGGAAATGTATCAACACAGGTTTTATTGAAACATATAATTCATCACCTGAAAGCTATTTCAGTGTGTCATGTGATGATCATGATGCATTTTTGATGCAGTGTTACCTTTCTTTCCCCATGAGGAATCATACTGAACAACCCATGTAGGTGAAAACAGGACAAAGACTTTAAATCTATGTGAATGTAAGGATTTAAGCAGCAGCAGTGCTAACTGATTTAGTCACCATGATATCATGTGTTTACTCCAATGTGCTGATGTTAAGCAGGACAAATGTTTACAGTTGACATTTTGAGTAATGTTAACTTTGGCTTTGAAATTATTTTTTTGAATCTAGCATAGGCTTCCAGAACTATCATTAAATGATCACATATTATGTCAAAAACAAAATGATGTGAGGAATGGAAACATTGACCCAATGAACGTTAAAAGATTGCCAGGCAGGGAATCCATAAAGTAGGTATCCTGGTGGTGTAGGAGGAAAAGTGACCAGAATTGAGCGTTTTATGACGTTTGGTACCAATCCTTTACTAAAGTCGTTGGGATATATCCATTTGGCACATCATCATTGAGTATGTTTACATGGACTTGGATAGTATCTCCATTTTGATCTGGGTTTTTTAAATATCCACCTATCAAGTGCATGTAAGGGTGTACCAGTCATATAGCACAGATCTAGACCTATGCTATTATTGTTGCCAAGAGAGGAGGAGTCATTTGACCACTTAAATTGTAGGAGCAATGGGTTTCGGTGCCATTCCATAAGTTAAGGTTTTACAAGAATAACCAACCACTATTGCCATCCAAAACTTTGAGCTGGGGGTGGACAATCCAACAAGTCTTTTGGATTTATTTTCTTGGCAACGTTGATAAATGTCCTAACTTTCACTGCAATCCAATTAGCAATTGTCAAGACATTTGACGTAAAAACACTTAAATGTGAACCTTTCTGTTGGGCTATGGAAACATTTTAGGTATGATTCAATTCAGACGGCTTAATCCTCTGTGGACCAAGGATGTCAGCACAACATGTTATGACAATCCGTTAGTACTCATTGAGAATATTCAGACCGATCCAAGTAGTAGACACACCAGCAGCCCTGTATTTACAACACAGCAGCCATGCAGCTAACAAGGCAAATCTCTTGCATGGAAATATTTGTGAAATATGTGAGAACAAGAACAAAATCTGTTTGAGAGTTTTTTTTCCACATGTATCCCACAGCATATGTGCATTCATTGATATATATTATGTGATGTGACTGCAAGGAGTTTCTTGGAATAGGACATAAGCGTAGTTTATGAGCAGATATTTGTTTTATGAAAGAATACTGGACGGTGGTCAAACTCCTCTCAGCATACAACGATGACTACTTTTCACATTCCTCACACCAATTGCGTAACTGAAAGCTGACTCTGTTTAATATTAAACATTTACTCTTATGTTGTGATTTAACACAGGAAAAAGTCCAGTGTTACAGAGTGTATTTCTGGAAACACAACCGACCTTAGGCTGTTTGATTGTTCAAGCCATCTCCATAAATAATCAATCTGATACATTGCTCTCCAACAGGAATGGCTTAGACTGCCACTCTGTTTATTTCTGCTAGTTTCAGTCCTCTGCCAAAAAGATCTAATCCCATCTTCCTCTTTGGTCTGTCTTTATATGAAAAAATGGGTGCAATAAAATGTGAAAGTGCTCTTTATATTCTCCAGAAAGGGGCCACAAGAGGAACACTTTTCAGAGCTCTCCCTTTGGATATTTTAGTGTCAGTGAATTTGCACGAGAGCATTACTTAGTCATGTTCTGTTACCCAACACACTCGCTATATCTGTCTTTCATTTCACGTCTTGGAAGTCTCACATATTAAATTTATTTTAAACATAAAAACTGCAGCATGATTGTGTTTATGCATAAATCATATCAGTGGGAAAATGTATTTTCATTGTTATTTTGTGTTGATCATAACCAATTCCTTTGCAACTGTGGGACTGCCCTGTTCATAAACTGTCATCTGATTATTATCTATGGCAAGAGTAGATACTACAGGGAATTCTGTCATCCTTGAACGGTAGTTGTGAGTTATTTAATTTAATCAGCATGCAAGTCAAGTGGATATCTGACCAATGTCTAAAGAGAAACATTGCGCAAAATAAAACCAAACCACATTGTAGATCCAAGCAAAAGCAAACATCCCTTATTTTTCTTGTCTCTCCAAAGATAAAATTCCCATACTGACAGGTCTGCTTGTGAAATTGACACCATCCTTTATGGAATGCAATAAATTCCCTAATGAAGATCGATCAACTCTTCTGTATCCGCAATGTGAGTGGTGTATATACAGTGCATGGCTAATCAGGATGGATCAGAGTATATGTATATTGCTATAGATTTCAGTCATTGCTATGCTGAGTGATGTGGCCACACAGTGGGGTTTAAAGCTGCTGGGTCATTAAGCGTCTACACAACAGTGGCAGTGTGGAATGCTCATCATGCTTTGGAGATAAGGACTAAGGCTTCACAGTGCATGAAAAGAATATCCAATGCTAACATGGGAAATAACTTTAATGAACAAAAACAAACAAAGAGACAAAATGGGTAGAAAAAAACATTGAATTTAAAAGGGTAATATTGGTCTGATTCTCTGAGGGAGTATCGATCACAGGAAGCAAACACACAATCTTCATGTCTGATGTGGGAAACTTCCTCGCTGTCTTTCTTGTTGGGTTTTTACTTGGTTATGTTTGAGTCAGTGGTACAGGATCACTGCCACAGGAAAGCTTTGAACACAAGCAAGATTTTTTGAAAGAGAGTTTAGTGCCCTGCTGTGACAATGTCCATTCAGAATATGATTAAGTGGTCAATTATGGCTTAAGTGTAGATTGAGTCTGTTGTAGCGCAGTAGGAGATAAGAGCTGGAGGGCATTTATGATGCAGTAGAAAATGCAGGTGATATGAATACAGCAAACATTGAGTGATTAAACCAATGGAACTTGATTGGAAGTTTGACCCAGAAACATAGAGGAAAAATTAAAATCCTCACTTTCCATAAAGAGTTGGTACCGAACTAATTGAGTGAGCAAAGTTCCTCACCCAGTTATACTTTTTTGAAAAACATTATTGTTAATCTTGGGGAAAAAAGCAGGAAGCGAAAGATAGGGTTGGGTAGGGGTGTCAAAAGCCTTTTAGCTTTCACAAAATACAGCAATTCTATATGGAGTATACATGAGACCATTGTTGGACACAAATGGACCTGGAAGGTCAGGTCAGCCAATTCAATAGTTATAGGTAGAGGTATACAGGGAGACCAGCACAAGAGTACTCCTCAGATTTTCAAACAAAGATTCAGACAAAAGCAAAATTCAATTTGCATGGGAAGGAACTGACATTACCATGGAGGCAGACAAATATTTCAGCACATTTACAGCCTGGGGCGAAACTAGAACATGTATTCACGAAATCACTACAATTTAGACAAATATTTATATTTAATAATTTACCTTTTAATTGAAGCAAACTATTCCTGATGTCAATCGCATGATGTGTAGTGTTGTATAAGCCATTGGCTCCCAAACTTTTTTTGGAGCCCCTTACTGTACTTGTATCTAAGAAAAGCTGAGCTTGTCCAGGACCCATGTCCAGGACTGATACATTGCAGTCAAATATTAAGATCAGTTGAATTGTTTTCATTAATGATTCATCATACACAACAGAATTGACCTAGGTAAACTTTTCAAAGACCTTTGACCTTTGTATATAACAACGGTTCAGAACCTAGGGTATGGGGGTCCCCTTTGGAGGAGGGGGCGGGGGCATGGGGCTCTGTCTGCCATGAGGTTGTCAAAATTAGATTTGCACATAAAATCATGTTTGAACAATTCTGGGAATTTTTTGCAAAGGCATTTTGAAAAGAACACGTGTGTAGGCATATTCTGATAGGATTGTATCAATGAAAACCATTATATTTATTGGAAAAATCGGTTGGGAAGCACAGGTATAGACTATCCAGTAAGTGTGTTACCATGATTTCAGAAAATATGTGGAAATCTAATTTTGACATCCTCAGTGCAGACAAAGCATTGTGCACCCTCTGGGATATTTGACCCTCAACACACACCCCACCCTCCAAGGGGGCAAATCCTAGGTTGGGAACCAGTGGTCATTTACAGTAGAATCGTGTAAAAATGTGTTAGCATTGTAAAAGTGTTCATTTAGAGGCAAATTCTTGATCTTTGGTGATCTCAAAGATAAACTTAAGGTGAACTCACTAATGTCAAAGCTTATTCTCTAAACGTATGTGCTAGAAAAATATACTCAGTTAGCCCTGAGTTTCAAATATTGTATCAAAAACTATTTTCCTTTTTACTTGCATTCTGCATGGTTGGATTTCAGAGTAAGAGAGAGAGAGAGAGAGAGGGAGAGAGGGAGAGAGAGAGAGGGAGAGAGTGACTAAACAGAGACAGAATGGGAGGGAGTAAAAAGTTATCAGTGAAAGTTCCTAAATGTTGTGTGCCAGTGTGTATTTTTGTAGCTTCCTCTTCTAACCCCTGCAAACAGCGGGGACCAGGCGAGGGAGAGAGAAAGTGAAAGAGGGAAGGCTGGTTGAGTGATTATGTTCTAAGGAGGTGCATATGTGGATGTGTGGAGAGGTACGCTAGTCTCTCTCTCTCTCTCTCTCTCTCTCTCTCTCTCTCTCTCTCTCTCTCTCTCTCTCTCTCTCTCTCTCTCTCTCCTCTAGTTTTAGAGTGTTACCACTTCAGCCAACATCCTGAAGCGGGCCACTCTTTAGTCCACTCCACTCCACTCCACCCCTCCTCTTCCCTCTCCTCCGACCAAACACGTGGAGTCCAGCAGCTTTGAAAAGTAGGCAGTGAGGAAGACAGCTTCTAGAAAGAGAGATAAATGTTGGGAGGGAAGTCTGCCGTTGGCTTCCTGGACTGAGCTGCATGCGCTGCCTGAGTGTTGGGAGTTTCAACAGGAGGCTATTCGCTTTTCCTGTGTGTATGTTTTCACTCTGCTCTCACATCCATCCAACAACAGGAGCAGGAATTGGGCTGAAGAAGACTTCTGGATGCAACTGTGAGAAGAGGACAAGCCAAAAGGAGGGAGAAGAAAAAGTGATAAAGAGGCGACAGGAGCAGCAGGAGTTGGTTTGAAAAGAGAGGTGGAAGATAAAAGGAAACAGAGGACCGAAAGAGAGACTCACCTGACCCACCTCTCTGCTCCCTAGGTGGAGCAACCTCCTTCTTTCCCTATCATCCCTCCCTCCCCTACCCCTCCCTCCCTGACATGGACCGCCTGCTGGCCCTGACCCTCGCCTACCTGGCCTACCTGTTGGCCCCCGCAATCGCCTCAGAGCGCCAGCAGCATCGTGTGCAGCACGGCCCCTGCAGCTACACCTTCATCCTCCCCGAGGTGGAGCACTGCCTTCCTTTACAGGACTTCCAGGTCACCAACACTCTCCAGAGGGACTCTCCGCCCGAAGCGGACCAAAATACAAGCCAGTCCAAGCCAGGCAAGGCCCAGAAGGAAATACCTTCCTGGCAAGATAGGAAGCTGGAGAGTCTGGAGAATGCCATGGAGAATAACACCCACTGGCTACAGAAGGTAAGGTCTTTGAATTTCCCCAAAACAACTATTTACTCCTATTAACCCTTCCCACTCCTCTTTGCTGTCTTCTTCTTGTCCTTTTAAATCATCATCTTTCAGCCAGCAAGCCTTCACTCAAACTAAACAGCTGAAGAAGCTGGCCTAATAAATCTTGGGATGTCCACGACGCAGAGTATCTGGTAACATCTGTTTACAGGCCGTCATTATTGATAAGTTCAGTGCTAAGCTGGGATTTCCTGGATACTTGTTGTATGCATATCTGCCTCCATGACTACGCCTGTTGTATGACTGTATGTGTCTGTATTTAAGACCACTGGGATGCCAGAAACTCCCTGTTGCATGCAAAAGAAGGAAGACAAGATTAAATAAGTTTGCTAATGTCAGACAGTGCCAAATGTGTCTCACACAGTTAAACCTGCTAAATTAATACCTTTGTCCCCCCACACGCTACAACACACACAAGGTAATTTTAAACAAGCTCCACACCACACTTAGCTGACATACAAATCTATTGCAAAAATGTTTATCTGCGGGAGACACATTTCAGCATGTGCCTTCTCCAAGTCGATGGCCTTTTTGCAATTCCATTTAGTCCGGATTATGGGTAGAATGAAATGATGTGATTAAAAATGGCTTCACAATAGTGTTTTCCTTTGCTAAGGTCATCAGGGCACAGAATCAGTGTCGGTTCCATTGTCTGGGACAGACTGAGTGACATGCCAGCCCTCTCCACCCGTCTCTCTATTCTCGTCTGCATCACTCACAGAATATTTATGGTATACGCACTAATCCTCGGGCCGATTTTGAGGGTTTCTGTGGTGTTTAGATGAGCCGACTGAGTGCAAACATGTTTATTTAATTTCATGATTTTGAAAATGGGACGTTATGAATGCCAAAGCACTTCCTGTGCTCCTGTCACTTCCCATCACTCTCGCTCTCAATCGGAAAAAAAAAAATTGTCTGCATTTCCTCTCCTGTCCTCAGCCTCCCCTTTTTTTTTTTTTTGTCTCTTGACACCTTATTCCTCTCTATCCATCTCCTTCGCTCCTATCTGGACCGTTCTGCTTCCCCTGGGATGATGAATGTGTCTCATCTCACACCTTTTACTTGTCGACCATCAGATCTCAAGCTCTTTGCCTATCTTGCTCACACTCTCCCAGGAACACGCATAGGAAAACATACACACTCAAATCCCCTGTGCACACTCCGTCTGATGCTCAGTCTGTGAACTGGAGACCTCACTTCCATGGGAAGCATCCCATGAGGCCACACTGTATGTGTGTGTGCTTGAGAGACAGAGCGTGGAAGAAATAGTGAAAGGAGTGCACACACTTTCCGTCATGCAAGCAGTTTGCACAGCATGTGCTACATTGTACAACACAAAAGCAACATACATTGCACATATGTTGTGCTTTTCTATTAAACATGTAGTCTCTTTTTCACTCTCCCTCTGCCAGAGCTTGGATATAAGCAGTCATTAAGGAGATAAATCCCCTCCACCTACGGAGAAAAAGCTCAGCTGACACATATCTTGCTCTGTTGCCAATCTTCCCTTCACACGACGTCTGGAATGAACACAACCTTTCAACAAGTGGCCCCCCCCTCAGGCATTAGTGATGCATAAATGATTACACTGCAGGTGGGACTTCCACATAAACATAGCAAGACCCAGGAGAACTCCTTAAGACATCTAAGAGTGAAGACTGACCCCAGATGGCAAAGCCCTTTCAGCACCTTGTGAAACTCATCAAGCCTATAAGCAAACGTTTGGGGGAGAAATTGGTGATATGCATTTAGAAGAGCTTAAGGCTTAAGTATGTCGTTGTATCTGTGAAACTTTAGACGATCTCACTCAAAGCTCCCTAGGGACAGTATGATTCTTACCATGAGCCTTCCACCCAAACCCCCTTGAAAGGAAACATACACCCACACACGAAAACATAGGAGCACACACACACACAGGAATCCAACATGTTCCATTGAGGAATCTCCAAGAAGGCGAGAGCTACAGGACTGTATTAATCTTCCAGATTCCTTCTTTAGTGTTTCCAAGAAGAAACTAGTGTTTGTTTTCTTTTGTTCTAGCCCCCCAACGTAACCCCCCATTAAGTTCCTTTTGCTTTCTGCGGCCCTGAGGGGTTGGCAGATGGGATGTGAGCGTGCTTGTGTTAGGACTTTTAAGAGCCTCTGTGGATTATGCTAATGCAGAAATATTGCATAGAGATCAAGGTGACATGTTCCAGTAATATTTCATTAAAGCAATACTGAAGGATGTCACACACATTATTCCTAACATCCAATTGGTCTCAATTTCACTGTATTTTTTGAAGAAAAACACCCCATTTTACCTTTAAGTAAGGCCCCTGACTAAAAGACATTAAGTTTATCTATATACCAAAAAAGTTTCTCACTTACTGCCGCCAAAAGAAATGAAAAGGAAAAATTTTGCACTGGCCACTCACTTGAAACGAATCTTTTTTCTAAAAAGCTTAACATAACCTTGCACATGACATAAATCTTCTTTCATTTTATGCTACAACTCAGGTCCTTGGATGTTTTCTTGTGAATGTTCCTCATGTTTCAAACACAAGTGCAGACGATAGAACTTTTTATTTCTATCCCCCTAAACTCTTGAACATACTTCCTCTTTGTATTAAAGTGGTGAGCTCTCTGCGTATGTTAGGAAGGAGATTGCAGAGCATTCTTTTTTTTAAATATGGTGTTAATTTGGAGTTATTTTTTGGTCTTATTGGTCAAATAACTTGTTTATTATTATTATTTATTGTTATTATTTTTGTAATCAAAGTTAAAGTTTTTTTTCACTTTCTGCAATCCCTAAAGTATGTTATGATAGGAAGCTGGCGTGCTCACTGTGTGTCGGTAATGTTGTAAAAAACAACAGTAGACCAGCTTACCTCCGCTTGGAAATGGAATGTCTCTGAAGTTACAGGCACACTTGTGCGGGAGAGGTTAAGGTGGACAGGTAATCCCAATAATTTACCTTTCCCCCCTAACCTCTCCCCTGGTCTACTGTTGTTTTTTCTCCCTCAAGTATGTTGTTTGTCATTTGAATATACAATAGTAAATTGCGGATCGAATAAACTACAACTACCATCTCAATTGTTAATTAATTTCACTGATATCATTATAATTATTGATGTAATGCATTCATTTCATAACTGTTATAAACATGTGTACTTGAGAGTTGTTCGCGTCTCTGTTTACCCAAAAGGTGAGCCTCTCATGTTCCCTCCTGCCACACACACCCCCGTAATGTCTGGAGGTGCACCTCACACTTTGAGAAGTAGCTAACTGCAGTAATGAAATTGCTCCGTCCAGTTAGTATCAAAACAGCAATTCAGAACGACTTAGAAGCAATAAAAAATGAGACAAAGTGTTGTTTAAGATGACATAACGTTGAAAGATGTGTTTTCTTGCTGAAAGTGCGACCCTGACGTGTTTTGATTGTGGGTTTTGGAGGGATACTGCTCTCCCCTCTTTCCAGTACTGCATACTGCCACTGAATCTTTTAGTTGTACCAGACCGTAACCTACTTAGTTTCTTTTTGGGGATCATGAATGATCTTCTTAATGATCCAGTTCAGGAGAGACCAAAGCAATGAATCTTTCTGCCCTTTCATCCTTTGAGGACACTCCAGGTGAACACCCTCCAACAGCAACATCTTTTTACAGAAGTAATGTGTAATTGTTCCAGATAATCCAAGGAACATATACTTTGGACAATTTTTATTGGCAACAAAAAAGCAGTTAGATGAAAACTAATCGAAAACAGATCAAGCTGTAGATTGTTCTAAATACTTGTTGATAGAAAATATTTCTGCTTGGTAAGACACGATGGGAAATAAGTGAGACATTTTTTAATTTTGCTGACATGACCCTTAAAAAAGCAAGAATGCATTTTCCCTCTGAAAATTGGATCAACCTGGTGTTGCCTAAACACATCCATCAGGTCATCGTCTTCATGGGAACCTGGTAACTAATTTTCCTTACTAATCATAGCTATCCTGATTTGCCTCAGTCCATCATTATTTTGCCAGAACACCCAGCAGACATGCTCCCCCTCCCCCTCCTCTCTAACTGCAACCAAGAGCTTGTGTGTCTATTGGCTCGATAATTAAGATATCAAGTGATACAAGTAATTTTCTCAGCACTCATCCCTACTCTGTTCCCCCTTACACAAAAATAAAACAGAATTATACTACATACCGAATATGATACAGAGCTCCTATCAATGCAATTGGCAGTGGAAGATGGAGTGTATCAAGACCAGCATTGAGTTGTTTCACAGAAGGCTGTAATAAGAACTCTTTGGACAGGCGGTTGATAGCAGTTTCAATACATGAGGCTGATTAGGATACTGGGATCTTCGTTCTTTCTCTGGACTCAACGACTTTAATCCGTTTGGTAATCTCTTCATATCCTCCGTTATGGATGGATTTTTTTGCTGTCTCAGAAGTCCTAAAGCAGCAAAATGTGAGAGATGGATTTACTGAGCTGGAGGGGGGAGGGGGGATTGAATGAAAGAGCGAGTTAGTACCAGAGATCGAGTGGAAGCAGAAGGGTATAGAGTGAGATCACAAGAGGGCAAACTATTATATATTTAATTGTCCATTTTTCTTTCCAGTTGTGTTTGTATTTTTGTACTACATCTCCTGTTTCAATGCATTACATTTATCCCATTTGTATACAAGTAGCACCCTTTTTTGAATTCTCGTCGATTTTTCAGAATGGCCCCGCATTAGCTAGATCATTATTGGTGCCGTTTCCCTCGAAAGAACATGTTTTCCAGCCTTTGTGTTTAACGAGCAAAGTCTGATCTCTCAGAAAACTCATAAATATTATTGTTCGATATTCCACTCTGCTTTATTGCAAGGCACAGGCCATTGCCTCTTAAACGTCAAATAAAATTCCATCTTTCACGGCAGGGAAAAGACAAATTTGTCTTCCACATGCCGTTTTGTCAAACTGACCGCATTAATAAGAAAATCTATTTATTGGAACAAGATGGATGCTGCTCTATTTATACTCCTGCTGCAACATATGATGTTTTTTTGCCAGTGCTTCTTTCTCTAAGCTTATGATTGATTACCAAGTGTACGGAACTATTCCTGAAGTCCTGCACACAATATTCAGGATTTCAGCCCGTTGGTTATTGCTCCCTTGAAATCCCATTGGAACTCCTAGTCAGTGCATAATTTTATCATCAATTTAGGGTTGCTATTGGCCTTAGGTAGATCTACAGATTGATAGACTGATAAATGGGAGCCACACACATGCCTGAGGGTAGCTTGATTTTGGGACTCCATCACCGTGAAAAAGACAAGATATTCTGAGGTTGCAACTTTCAACCAGCACAAAGTATCCCAGGATATTTCACACCTCGAGGCCTTCAGTGAATAGATGGGCGTGTTACCTTCAAAATATGATTATGGCGGAAATTAAACTAGGGAATCTGACATTCTGGATAATTTTCTAAAAATCTGCATATTCTCCTCACAGCTGGAGAACTTCATACAGGAGAATGTGCGCTCTGGGATGGAGGAAATGAAGAGAACGGCCGTACATACACAGACAGCCGCCATGCTCGAGATGGGAACCAACCTCCTCAGCCAATCAGCCGAGCAAACACGCAAACTGACAGATGTTGAGACTCAGGTGAGTCCATCAGGACGCGTTCGAGTGAACCTGAGTTAACTTGTTTGCAGCCAATCTAAATGAACAACTGTCGGTGTCACACCAATGCAAAAACAAACAATGTCACTTGCAGTTCATTTGGTGCATAGCTAATTAAATGTAAATCAGATGTAACTTGATGAGAAGCCAGGCCGAAAGGTGGCGGCGGCTGCTTTAAAACAGCTGCTATTTGGTTCTAGATGCTGTGATTGACACACTGAGTTGAGCTCTGCGTCTGACAACACGCCAATTAAAACATAACACTCAGTAGCACAACACAGATGTGTCTTCATTCATGCCACAGAGCTGTTATTACAGATTGGGCTGTTTTGGTCCTTATGCTTTCTTTTGTCTTATCAAAGCCCATCATGAAACCCCAACCTGCACAAATATCAGAGCTGCTTTGTTCCACATATTGCTACATCTGAAACTTCAAAAACATGTCACAGGTGCTTATGAGATAATTGTTGCTCGTGTTTTCATTGCCAGATCAAAGAATGGGCTTTACGATCCTTTGGATGTGCTGTCCCCACATTGTTCATCCACAAGGGAGATATTTATGAACTTTATCTTTACATCAAAACCAGTTACAGATATCCACTTACTCTGCTACTTTTTCTGTTTTTGTTCTGAATCTTTAGGTGTTGAATCAGACAAGTCGCCTGGAGATTCAGCTGCTCGAGTACTCGCTCTTTACTAACAGGCTGGAGAAACATATTCTCCTGCAGACGCAAGAGATCTCACGCCTCAGCGACAAAAACAGGTGAGCACACACACTATTTCAAAGATTATTCATGTTTCTTTTAAGAAATTTGAGATCTTCCCCATGTATAAGCATTTCATTTTAAATGTCACATATCATGTAAAATACACTTTACCATGTTTTTGTAGCTCTAAAATGTGTCCCTAATCTGTCTACAAGGCTAGGTTTTTTTATTATTATTAGTAAATTATTACATTTGAGTCCGCCTTCTCCCAGTAACCAATAAGGAAAGGAGCGAGAAAGCCTGAGCACACCAAAGCCCTTCCAGGGAGGCGTGGTCAGACACCACTCATTTGCATTTAAAGTTACAGACACAGAAACAGCCTGTTCTGAGCAGGGCTGAAAAAGAGGGGTTAATAGGCAGGATAGAATACAGGATTAGAGTGGATTTATAACATGACACTTCACAGACATGTTTTGGGGAGCTCTGAGACTTATTTAAACTGGTTGGAAAGGAGAATAATATTTGACCTTTAAGATCTATAATGTGTCTTTCAGCGGTGAAGGATGCAGCATTCTTTTTGTTTGACAATTTTTTTTTTATCCTATGAGAGATAATACTCCTGTCATTATCTTGTTGTGTTAAGTGTTGTGTTTTCTTTCAATTTTGATGATAAAAGTAACACTTATTTTGTATTGGTTTTTATTTCCTCTGCTTTATCTTCCCATTGATTTTAAATGAGTTGGTTTGGATGTCATAACAAAGTGTCAAAGATTGTTTCCTCAGGAAAATGCTACTTGACATTAGGGTAGCTAAATATGAGGACCTTGAAATAATGTACTGTACATGTACAAAAATGGTCCATTTAATCCAGCAGATCTGAAAAACAGGGCACTTACCAACAATATAATGCCAATTGTTTAAGCATGTGTATGTGTTTGCCAGTGAATAGGCTGTGCGTATAAGGTGGGGTTTCCCTTTATTCTCTCTCGGAACACAAGGTCAAATCAGGGCCAGCAGGGGTTAAAGACAGGGTGCTTGGTGGTGTGGAAGGAAACAGGAGTTTTCTCTCACTTAGTTGTTTTATCACTCCATTCATCTGTACAGAGTGTGACTGGGAGAATAGTGTGCCCCAGCCCCAACACCTGTTACACATCTGGCTCTGCTTGGTACTACTCTGCCCTTTTGCCCTTATCTTTCAAGTTGTTGACATGCCTCTGACATGTAAATAAATGAATACATCTTCACAAGGATAAACACCATGAAGGGATGAATGGAAGTAGAAAGGTCATTGTAGATTAGCAGCCAGGCTGCTGTGGAATAAAAGGGGGGGAAAGGGCGGATGTGGTTATGGGGGCCTACTGCTGCTGATGCTCGAGGGCATGAAGCCAGTTTTTTGAACAGCTGCCAACTTAAAAGAGCAGAGAGATGTGTTTGTTTTCACAGGCAATACATGTAAAATAGTATTGGCAGGGAGTGCAGCATTTAGTGGAGACAGACTTTGAGCAGACAAATAGTAATACACATATATAATAAATAGCACAACATCATAAGCATAACAGTTTAATTGTCCAGGATGTAATATGATCCAAATTGCCATGTTTGTTCTGTCAAAACCCTTAACTGTAAAAACATTTCTGAGCTGGTTTATTGCTGTGCTCTATGCTTTGAATGTTCTTCGAAGTTAAATACACAAAATGGAGAACAATTTGTTAGCTCACTGTGCCACTTTTTATTTACGTTTTTCCCACAAAGCGAATATGAAACGGTAATAATGTTAAAATAATGATCCAGCTTTCCCTCCAGGCCTCCTACTGATTCGCTGCCTAAAGCAGGAGATTGAGGTTACACGTTTAAAGCGGCGGCGGCGTGTGCGCAGGGTTGAAAGTAGCTTGTTCAATCTGGGTGGCTTGATTGTTTCAATAAATAACTTCTGCAGAGTCGTTAGTCAAAGCCATAAAAATCAGGCTGTAGGGATTTATGATCTTCATTAGGAGGTGGAGGTGGGGGTGTGGCCCACACACACACACACACACACACACACACACACAAACTTGTACACTCATATTGTCAGATCGTTGCCTCATGGCTATGATGGGGAGGCTTAGAATGCGGGCACATCTGTGAATTCTGCTGCTATACAGGTGTTGATATAATGTTAACCCAATGAGGCTGTCTATTAGTCAATGTCATGTAGATGTGGTTTGAGCAGCCTGCGCTGTGAAGTTAAATACTGGATGGATCAATTCTACACACCCACTATTTTTCTTTTAGTCTGATAGAATGGATTTACGGCGGGAATGTTTCATAAAAAAATCTTGCCAAAGGTTTAGTGCTGGGATCAAAGTTTGTTCAATATATGGGCAATAAATTACTTATTTCAAAATGGATGAATATTAAATTAAAGTCTAATTACATTTGATTGCATCAAAATGGAACGTAACACACACACACACACACACACACAATACAATTAGTATTATTAATTTGTATTCAATTGTAAAAAAAAGTTCTGCTGCGCTGTGACTCAATATTTTTGTTCTCGTTCATGCCTGGTAGTTTCCTGGAACAGAGGCTCTTAGCGCTGGAGGCTCGGTATGGAAGGGAGCTGCAGGGCATGCAAAGCGAAAAGCAACAGCTTCAAGAGCTTCTGGAGAGGCAGAGTCGAATGGTCAGTCAGCTGCAGGGGGAACTGGGCAGCTCCATGCTTAACAGCACCCTGCTACAGAGACAGCAGGCAGTGCTCACGGACACTGTTCAGCAGCTGCTGGCTATGGTCAACCACTGCAATGGTAGGGTATTTTACTCTTTGGCAAAATATTCAGTAGATTAGAAAAAAAAGTGACTGATTGAGTGGTTTGTCATTATTTCACATTGTTGCACAAAATGATCGATTGCATTTCTGTGATTAATAACCTCCTGAGAGGAAAAAAATGATTAATAGTATCAATAAACACCAAAAATTCAGCATAATGGAAAAACAGGGATCCACTGAATTTTCATTAATTAGCTTGGGAGTTGTGGTTGAGGCTGAAAAAGTATCATTTTTCATGACCCACCTAGAGCAGCTTATAAATCAAATCTCAGACACATAACATACATGCATGCATCACAGAAAATTAAGGCTTAAGCAACAGCTTAACTTGACAAAAAAAAAACTCACATATGGGGGCTGGGATTAGTGTGCAGAACCAACGGGTTTGCCATCTGTAAATAAATTACTGTTTTTTGTTTTTGTTTGTTTTTTCAGAAATCTCCAATACACCAAAAGAAGAGCCACTTAGCTTCAGAGACTGTGCTGAAATCCTGCAATCAGGTGTTACAGAGAGTGGAACATATAGCATACGCCTTCCCAACTCCACACGGACTGTCAAGGTAGTGAGGCTTTAAAGGTCATTGACCTTTGCCACAAATATCACCCAACTGACTGTAACATGAAACTCTTTTCAACTCTTTTTTTTTCATGCAGTTCTTAGCAATGGAATCATTTCACTTTGCCTAATCTGAATAGTGTAAAGCTCTCCCTCTTATACACACTACGTGGTGACATTAAGAGGCCTTGACCAACAAAGGTCCCCTGTTGGTGAATATGTAATGATGCCAAAGTCCCCTGTTAGACATGCACACAAGTTAACACACACACACACACACACACACACACACACACACACACACACTCTAATACTGGTTGTTTAAAGTATACAGAACTTGATGGAAATGCAGTGCAGGGTTAGTGAGAGGTAAAATAATAAGAAACGGAAGCACATTTTGCCCTGCAGGCTTCATGGTGAGTGAGTGGGCACTGCTGAATGCAAAGTCAGAAAAGCTTAGGAGGTACCTCTTGTGGCCTGAAGTAGCTAGCTTGTGCTAAGTGAACCATGGTATCCACCGGTGGGCAATCCTTTCTTTGAATCATAGGACTCTTGGCTGAGATCTTGACTCTAAGAGCTTACTGCAGAAAAAGATGACAGCAGTAAAATATAGACTTTTATGTTTTTCATTACTTTCAGTCTAGTTTGCTTGCTGGCACCAGCTCCTACTGCCCCTGTTTTTTTCCCCCCACTCTTCCTTTTCATTTCCTGTGGGCAAGTCAGCCAGGTGTTGGGCACTGGTGCCATGTATTTCCTGCCAACTGGGGCCAATGTATGTTTGCATTGATGTGAGTCAGTATTCCCTTGAATCATTGCTGCTTTCAATCTAAGCCATCCAAAGTCCAAGGTGGCTGACAATCTGGGTGGCTGCAAAAAGTGGGGCAGATACAAATTGCCTTATTTTCAAGCACATAGGCTTCCTCAGTTGGACAGGAGACAAAAAAAACTACACGCATGGAATGCAGATTTGACTAAATGAGATGTATCCCTCTAACTAAGATTTAATCACAGAGATTTTGCATAATGATGTTGTTTACAAACCAAATAATTCATCATTTGGATCAGCTTCCTTTCTGAATTTTTTATTAGTTTTGTGCCTACTTCAGAGAATCACAAGGCACATTAAGTCACATATCATGCATTCCCCATAAACAGACATTACGAGGTAACTATTGTGTTCCTTGATAAAACTTTGTCAATATTAGCCACAGCATACGTCTTTTTAATAATCACAATATTGTTGTTGCATTTTTAATATCAAGGAATTGGCCCGAACTGACTCCTTCCTTGTAAGCTTCAATAATAAGAAAATTATGGGTTTTAAATATGGACCTGGTTTGAATCAAAGTAACAACCCCTTTTGGGGAATGACTTAAAAAATCTATTTCAAGACCCTGTTTTCATATCCAGTGTGCCTTTAAAGTGAGAGTGCTGGCTTAATGTGCCGGAGGATAATCACAGCATATTGCCTGTCGACCCTGTTTTCTGAGGAAAAGGACCTGAGTGCCTTTTGACCTTGATTAAGCTTTCCTATTCTGGGAATGTGCTCGAAACTCTCATTTTGTTTCTAGCAGAATAAAGCCACCTGGGGTGTTGAAATGGTGTTGAAATGGAGAGACCTGTTGGGATGCTGTCCACATACCAGCATCTTTACTGCATGACTCTTGAGACTTTTCAAGGGGGTTGTTTAGTGGACAACATTCAAGCAACCGGCCACATAGCAATTTAGGTTTATATGTAGTTATCCCAAGTGTAGGTTGTATTGACTGTTATCTATCTTAAAATGTCACTGACAATATCTATAATCTGAGAAGACAACATTGCATGGCAATATAGTGCCTGAGAAAATGGATTATATGGATAATACATTTCTTAATTTTTAAAGAATCTCTGAGGAGCATTCAGTTTTACCGTCCATAGATAAATATTCAGACATTGATTTAATCCCTAATTCCCCTGGGAAACTGGAATATGTCCAGTTAAACACCTTGAATATCTATAACAAATCCCTTAACAAGTCTAGATTTCGAATTATGTCCCAACATGAATTAGTACAATTCATTTATTACAATTTGTTCTTCCAAACATACCTCTATATGACAACGTGCAGCCAAATAAAAGAAAAATAATCAGTGTGCAAATTGAAATCTAGATGCCTCTTCCCCGACCCTTACTCAAGAAAACCTTTGTATGACCTCCTGCCTTTCTCCGAGCTGAGACACAAACACTGTCTAGACTATGTTCAGCATTAAACTCTTCAATCTGCCCAACAATTGAGGGTACCTACCTTTATCCAAAGCGGCGCACATCAGAGAGTAAGTACAACACTATCCCAATTCATACACCGCCACCGAAGCAGCAGGAGCAATGTGGGGTCAAGGGTCTTGCCCAAGGACACATCGGACATGTTGCCCAGCTGGGGATCCAACCCTGGACCTTCTGGTTGAGAGGCGACGACTCTACCAACTGAGCCACAGCCGTCCCACATATACACATATTTATATATACTGTATATCCAGTGTCACACTAAATGCCAGCTTTTCCTTTTTTCTTCTCGAGCCAGTTGGGACTTGTGATAAATCACTACTGAGCATTTTGACATCAAACTGAGATGTAATATTTTCAGACTATTGACGAGTACCTTTAGATAACTTTGAAAAATAAACACACTTTAGTCTTTCTGTTATCTGAAGGATGCCCTGGAAGCTTCGGTAGTACATTTCAAGGTGTCCAACAATGATATGGCCCAGGTGAGGAGGACAGTCTAAGATACCAGTTTGTTCTCGTATCCCCCCTGAGAAAGGGAAATTCATGCAGAGGTTTCAGTATAAAAGCTGAAGTTGATGCAGAGTTGTATTCATAAGGTCACAGCTTTTCAGTTTGATTTCATCGAGAGGACTTTTGCCAGTTTATCTCCAGTTGCAACAAGCAGCTGTTTTCAGTAAAAAAATTTGATATACCAAGTGTACACTTCCTGCCCAGAATCAAACAACTGTTCCGGTTAATGCAGAAGGACATTAAGCTGCTTAAGAGACTGAAATGTGTGTCGGCCTCTGGTGCAGACAATAGTGGATGAACAAACAACGGCTCCTGATTAATTCTCTGTATCTGGTCAACTTTTTTTTTTTTTTACGATGCAATTTGACTGGCTAAAGGTTGTACGATGTCAATGTTATACTTTCCTCTTGTTTCCCTGCCCCCTTATGAAAGGGAAATAGATACATTATTGCTGCCTTTGATGTCATCATTGGGAAATATCTGCTGGGCAACTAAGTAAATAAGCCGAATAAATTAACCAAACATTCAAAAACAACTGTGACAGCACAGAACCTTTTGGTGCAGGCACACTGTTCAATATTTTGAAATGCATAAAATTGGTCACCTAGCTTTAAAAAAAAAAAAAAAAAAAAACCTGTTGTCCTCCTGCTGTATTTTCCCAGGTGTTCTGTGATATGAAGACCAGAGGTGGCGGGTGGACTGTGCTGCAGCATCGGAGGAACGGCTCGGTTGACTTCCATCGTGGGTGGAGGGACTACAAAGTGGTGAGTTCTACAGAGGGAGGGGTTACGATGCATCATCATCATCATCGAAGGTAGTACAGATAAATACTGCAGGACTGAGCAGGAGGTTCCAATAATGATCCATGGGTGGTTTGGCACAGAGAGGCGTGGGATACCGGCGAGCCTGTGATCCCAGGTGACCTGCGGTTGTTGTATTTGGCTGCCCTTGTGTTCTCTCCTACCCCCCATGTTATTGCACCTGCTCTTGCTCCCTTTCCCTGTGATACTCCCACACAACCTTATACACTCGCTCTACACAAACACACATGTCCTGTGCTTTTTTGACCCATGGAGAACCTCTGTTTGTATCCATATTTAAGATCCCAGTAGTTTTACTATAGGGAAATGAGTTAGCAACGGTATTACAAACTATAAACAGGATGTAATGAAATCACACACTAGAGACTATGAGAGATGTTTCAGTGCTCTGACTGAATCTGGCATGTTTTCACACCTTTGGCTTCTGTTTTGTTTGGACTTAAATAATGTTGTTTTCAACCTCATTACAAAGTTTTCTATTTCGAAAAAAAAAGTCTGTGCAGTTGGGGGGAAAAAAAAACAAGCAGAGAAACATGCCTGCAAACATTTTCGACTGTGTTAAATTACACACAGAACAAATGAGTGAGGCTTGGTTTGTGATTGAGCGGCGTAGCAATTTGTCTCTCACCCACGCCAGCAAATCAATTGCCACTGCTTGGATTGGAAACAAAATGCAGAGAGTAATGTCACTGCAAACAGAAGGAGTGAGGAAAAAGGCTTAAAAAACTGTCTTGTTAAGAACAATATTTTTGCAAGCGGATGATACATATTTGGTTCCTGTTGGGGCGTGGGAGCACAGAGGCCCTGTAGATGGCAGATAACGTATGTACTAAAGTGCCATACTGCCTCGGTCAACACACATTCGAGTGTGTTGAGTGTTGATCAAATGTTATACCCAGGCCTGCTGGTTGAATGATAACAAAGGAAGGATTCTTTCTTTCCCTGAACAACAGACAATAAATGTGAAATAGTTCTACCTTGAAAATTAAATTCAACATTGTAATATGATGTTAAGTTTGTATTTGTATTCATGTGTCATTCAACATATGCATTCTGTGACTCATATGGCGTTGTCATATCGTTAATCCATCCCTCACATTGGCTTTTGCCAGTCAAGGAAACAACATAATATATGTCCCATTGGGTTGCTCTTCTCAAGGTGTCTCTTTGAATAGGACGTCGCATGTTATTGACATTTTCCAAGGTTTTGTTAAAGCCTCTACACCTGAATGGCAAGCAATATATGTTTTCTTTGTTAACAAATGTTTGTTTGACTGTGCCGTCCACTCCCTAAGCATCGTTTGCCATTGACTCCAGGGGCTGACTTACAGTATGTCCCTGACATTTTTCAGTCTTTTACGTCCGTTGCATTTAATATGCAATAGTGGGTTCAGTTTTCAATAAACTTTCCGTGAGCTGCTGAAAGCTACGAGAATAAACACCATATTGTCATAGGACCGTGGAAAAAAAGAACATTCCATACAATGAGTTACATTTGAATAAAACAAGGTCATGCAAGCTGATGTTAGCTTATATTTGTTATGACCAGCTTGTGTAGGCCCTAACATTCAAAATGGAGGTCCACACAGTTAACTTGCTTCTTAAGTTTTAGTTTATTTCAGAACAACCAAAAATACAAGGGCAGAGGGAAATAAGTCCAGTCTGTCCCGAGGAAGCGAGACAGAAAGCTATGGCAGCCTGGCTTATATGCCCTTCCACTCAGGTGAAGCCCATCTGCGATCAGCAGGTAGGTGGGCGGGTCTCCCAGCGACCAGCAGGCATGCCACCACCAACCACCAGATGACGCCAAACCCTGAAACACAAAACAACAGCAGTACCAGGCCAAACACCATGGCCAGGGACGTCACAATGTTATGTAAGGATATACTTACACAAAATAAGCTTCATCTAAGCTCTGAATGTCAGGAGTTGACATTGACCTGGTGCACTTGAGTAGTCATTGCTACCTACAAGTTTTAGCTGAATGCTTTGAAAGATAGGTGGGGCTGTAACTACCTTTCAGTAAGCTAATGCTGGGGGATGTTTTGAGGCAGACACTCATCACTAACTTGGTATGTGTGAATTGCAAAGCACTCGATGCGAGGCCGTGTTTTAACAGTGAAGAAAAACTGACACAGACGCAGTTAGACCTCAAACATGCTACACCATGTTGACAACGTCATTTTGTAGTTTTAACAAACCAGAAAGACTCCATGGCACCTTCCTTTTAAAAAAAAATGAAGTCATTTAATTACCATGGCCCTGTGATGTTCTATCAATAGCCGGTCAAAAATAAACAATGTTGATGTTATTTTGACTTACTGATGAGGGCTTGTTACTGAAACATGTCAGAATTTGTTTTAAGGTTCACATGTCCATACCATGAAAATAAAGCCATTTTAATGGTAAAACAGAGGGTGCTTAATAATCTTTTGTTTTTACAAAGACTGTGTGTATCCTAATCCAAAGAGCATGTCAAATCTATACACTTTTTCGAGTCCAGGAGGCACTCCTTGTTTAATTATTCAAGCTTTAAGTAGAGCTAACTCACAAAGCAGAAAAAAAAATGATCTAAAAGCATTGACCCAGCTCCTGATATATTGGGACAAATAGATTGTAGTGATGTTAAATTAGCTGTTTGTTATGATGTGACTTTCATGCTCTTTTTTTGATGAGGTGGAGGAGACCAAGGCTAGCTCTGCCCCCATTTTTATTTTTGGCGATTTTTGCCTTTATTAGATGGAACAGCTGAAGAGAGACAGGAACTGTTGGGAGTAGAGAGAGGGGGATGGCATGCAGCAAAAGGCAAAGGTCTGATTTGAACACACAGCAGCGGACTGTAGCGTGTGTTCATGGTAGGCTATCAGCGCCCCTGGCCATGCATTCTTATGATATTATGCTTATCAAAGTGGTTAACTGTGCCCGCTATAATAATAGGACAAATTAAAACCTCAATTGATATCCTGGTGCTTTGGGCGTGGACTTATTTAGCATTAATTTCACCCAGTGGACTGTCTTAGTCATTCAGAATGATAAATGTGACTTTTCAAAATTGAGGTCTATTTTCATCTTAACTCCAAAAACCCCTTGGCAGGTCGTTGGTCAAATCACCGCCTTTGTTTGAATATTCCCTTGCTCTATTGTTCCTCTGTCTTTTGTGTCTAATCCAGGGCTTTGGAGATCCATCTGGGGAGCATTGGCTGGGAAATGATATCATCCACAAACTGACCAGCTCCCAAGAATACAGTCTGCATGTCCAGCTGCAAGACAGGGAGGGGAATGAAGCGTTCTCACATTACGACCGCTTCTACATAGACGGCGAGGACAACAACTTCAGGTAACTGAACCGCATGAGATATGATTCATATGAACTAAAGGCTAAAGTCTGGCATGTAAAGATGTAATGCTCAGGTCACAACTCCCCTTTAGAATAATTAAATCCTCCAATTACCAAAGTGATTAGTAATTATAACATGATAGCACAAGATATGACAAAATGCTATACTTAAACACCTTTACACTGAGGTCTCCAGTTAAATCTCTTCATTCACATTGTCAGAAATCCCACATGAATAGCTCTATAATGAAGGTGCTTCACTTCACGTAAGTGTTTTATGAAGAGCCTTCTATTGTGAAAGACATAATTGTAATGCAGTAACACCCTTTCAATCATTGCCTTAAAGACTCTTTAATACCACCACAGATTGGAAACCATTATCAACAGTTCAAACACCTTCCTTTTTTTTTTTCTCGTCTTTTGAGCTTCCTTATCCCTGAGCACTGACGTTAAGAAACCACTCTGACCAATTTTTATTTTAAGAATGCCATTCATAATGATGAGTTCAGAAGAGGGCACACGGCCGCTTTCGTCTGCCTCCATTTTTCTCTTCAAATTACAGGGAGTAAAGCTTCCCCCTTAAAATTCCTCCCTCCTCCCTCCCTCCTCCACTGAAGAATAACAGGAATTCTCCACAATACCTTGCCCCTGCCAGAAGCTTGACAACTCCAACCAAAAGCTCCTCACTAACCCTGCAATAGCTAACAAGATTGTGCGTGTGGGTGTGCTCACAAGTGCTTCCTCCAAGTCAGACAGAAATAAAGTGGGAACAAAAATAGCACAGGTAAAATTTCAAATAAATCTACAAGAATTCACCGTTCTTTAAAATGGAAGTTTATGAAGATTGATGCTCTGAATTATGACAAATCATCATCATATGTGTGCTTTCCAGCATCCTTAATAGTGCAGCAAATTGCATTTGCCTGACTTTGTTCCACATAATTAGCGCGATAAAACTGAACGCTTCACAATTTTGCTCTCGGGTACAGCGTGTGAGGCGAAGCACCTGAACGAATATAATCACCTCTGCAGTTTGCTACCTCTGAGCTCATGGTTCTGTGTAACCAGTTCAATATGTACCAGCTTTACTAGCATTGCTGGAGACGCTGGCTAGGTCTGTCGGCTTCTATCATAACTCCAGGCCAAAGCAATTCTCCTCTTCAGCTGCATCCAGAGCACTCCCTGGAGCAACATGGAGGTCTTCAGCTTATACTCAGAAACATGATTCGGACATTAATCATCAGCATGACAGACCACTTTGTACTTTGACGAAGCCAAGAAAAACCATCGTTATCATAAAACCAGTGGTAGGGATTCATTTTCATGTAACATAATACCTCTCATTAAAGGATAAAATAACAATACTTGAGGCAGTTACCTTGAGGATTAGCCTGTTGACTGCAGTATTGGGGCGTAGCAGTAGTAATACATTTTGAAGTCATATCCAATGCCAATGGTTTATAGAGAAGGAAGAGTTGGCGTTGTCTAAAGAATGCTCTTTCAAATATGAAATCCTGTGGCCTGTGATTGCCACCCCGTCTAATTTGACCACCAATCAATCATGAAGAGAAAAATTACATTAAGAAACTCCTCTCATGTATTATTCCAGCCTCTCCACTATGCCATCATTACTCCAAGCACCCCTCTCGATGTGTTGTGCCTGCCCTGTGAACTTACAAATTCAAGAGGGCAATTCTTCATTTAGTCATCACCGACAGCGTGCCCTGGGATCGGGGGGTGAGGGGGGTAAGCACATGTCAGAGGGAAGGAGGGTCCAGTATTAACTAGATAGAATGACAGTACATGGGAGAGAGCAGACAGCAGGGTTAACTTCTTTGTCCACTTGCTTCAAACCAGAACTGACACACACAAACAGAAACAGACACAACAATTGGCACAGACTTCATTGCTCTGCAGCTGTTTAAAAATAATTGAAGGCATCTATTAAATGTGTTGAGAGGTTTATACACTGTGTGTGTTGTTTTACAAAGCAAAGCATGGAGGAAAAAAGAAAGTTTTATCTGGAAGTACACCCCTAATCTCGACACACACAGTTCCTGCGAGGAGTTTATAGGTTGTGTTGATTGTGGCGCCCCCTGTGGACAAAGCAGGACAATCTATGTCTTGCTGAATATGTCCAATACATGTGTAAGTTTGGGGAAGTGGTTTGGAAAGAAAACACCTCAATCATCTTTATTTTATGTGTATGCAGCTCAAACTAATTATTTGTAATCACGTGATTATAAATATTATGTGCGATTTAATCATCTCATCTGACAACTACCCTGGGACAGGAGTGACATACAATCACTAAATACTCTTTTGCAATGGTCTTGTTTGCTTACTTAGCTTATAAAAAGAGGCTTCCTTTTTAATTTGGGTCTTCTTAATAACCAGCTAAAAAACTTCTCCAGGAACTTTAATTTCTCAAATTGTATTTATTTTGTCCTTATTAAGAGGCTGTGTTGAAAAATATTACGTCTGTTCTGGTATGCCCACAGGGAAGATTTTAAATTTTCTCCAAACTCAATTATGGCACCTCCAAGCAGAGAAAGTTGGACCTCCAAGTTTGATATTTTGCCTCTCTCATACATTGTGTTACAAATGTTGTTAAAACCAGTCAGTTCGGTATGTAATTGTGCTGTTACATGTTTCAAAAGTTTCCATCCAGTACCCACGCTATGCTATTTGGATCTGCCAAAAAGCAAAGTTGCCTGACCCAGCCTTGAATAATGAATAGATATGCCTGCGGCGGAGCTTTTTTTCAATGAAACCTTTTCCTTGCTCTCCCAAATCCAGCCTCCATGCCGAAGGCTTCAGTGGCACAGCTGGACGAGCCAGCAGCCTCACCCACACCGGCACCCAGTTCAGCACCAAGGACAGGGACAACGACCGTTGCACCTGCAAATGCGCCCAGCTCGCATCAGGAGGTACCCATCAACCTCCTGTCTCAATCTGTCTCTGCTCATAACATGTCTTGTTAAACATTTCTATCCAACTGCTTGTAAATGTCCCCAAGTGCAATTCATTCCCCCTCTGTGCCAGTATAAAGTTACTGCTGACTCGCAGCTGTATATTTGGGTGTTCCATTTCATGAGCTTGAATTTAATTAATTCTGACTTTTTCCTTGAACTCTCCGACACATTTCCTCTCCAGGTTGGTGGTTTGAAGCGTGCGGTCCATCCAACCTGAATGGCATATATTACCCCGGCTCATCCAGTGTGGTCCGCTACAATGGCGTAAAGTGGTACTACTGGAAGGGACCAAACCTGATGGCTACCATGACAACTATGATGGTTCGCCCGGCCAGCTTCTGATGCCTCGAGCTCATCCAGGATTGTGAAATTATGAAGTGAATGTAACACCTGATCAATAAAACGAACAATATCCAGGAAATATTGTAATTTGAGATGAAGTTCATCACCAGACTTTTTTTCAGTTTCGGGACATCTAAGAGGGTGCTGTTGATGTTGACTGGGGACACGTACTGTACAGACTCTCAGCAAATGACTGTGGTTTTTAAGTGAACTCTTGAGTGAGAAATTTTTCTAAAATTATCTACAGAGAAGCCTGGACTATATTTCATAAAGGGTTTTTTTTTTCAAGCCAAGGGAGGATGGCAGAAGATGATAACTGTTTTGCTATAGAAAACATAAACACAACCAAGTACATTAAATTACCCTGATGTGTATTAGCAATTACACTACCAAATTTGAAATTCAATAATTAAACAGACAATGACAGAAACTTTACCTATTTTATATAACATTGTGTGCATTCGACTTTTATATTTTTTATTCTCAGTACTTTATTAATGTGAATCTTGGAACATGTGATAATATGATAATTGTATGATACATCTTGATCATTTTAAAACGCAATGCTCTGATTGTAACGTGTTGAAACACCAGACTGTTAAACATCTGCATTTGTTTAAAGCTATTCATAAATCCATACACAATAATACCATAAGATAACCCACAGTCACTTCAATGGTTTACCACACGTCATAAAACAACACCATAAACAACAGCAACAACAGGCTTTGCCCTCTGCTGTTTCTTCCACAGTACTTTTGAGACTGAAATATCCCAGATTCTGTCCAGGCACACCTCTCATAAAACTTTATTTGTGAGAGTTTTTTCTCGTAAAAATACATCATGTACTTATGCTTATGTCATCTCCTTTGAAACATTTTTTTTATTTTTAAAACATCTGGTAACAAAAGCTGTAAATCCAATTTTTGCTTTGTTAAAACAATAAAATCATACACATTCTTCTCAGCCTATAAGCCTCAGAGCCAGGTGCTTGTTACAGTGAAAACTACATCAAGTCCAACAGGCCAAACACGCCGGACTGAGGGAAGAAGTCATTTGAGAAGTGCGCACCATTGATCTGATGAATCATCCAATAACACTGGTCCCTGAGGTACCCATTAGGAAGAAGATGGGTTTAACCTCGACTAACAATGACCTGGATTTGTGTGTGTGTGTGTATGTATGTGTGTGTGTGTGTGTGTGTGTGAGAGAGAGTTGGGTAGAGCAGCCAACTGAAAAGGACACACAAGGACATGGGCTGGTCATGTTGATAATGTCTGCCAGAAGCATCTTCTCATCTTCTCTTCATTATCAGGTCCAACGTTTGGTTGTATTGAATTCAAGTTTGGTGTAAATCTTTTGTTAATTCTGGCGCCCCCTGTGGACAAGGCAGTACATCTCGTGTCTTCGCTGTTCCTGAACTAAACATGCATAGAATTATCTCATGCTGCTTTTAAACTATCAGTAGCTTCACATACTGTGGTTCTTTCAGTGATGAATCTAAAACCAAGGCACTTTCAGTTTGGGCTTTGTAAAACATTTCAAGGGACAATTTCCAAGTAGCAGCAAACAGGCATTAAAAATTACCACTTGGAAACTGTTAATCTGATTCCTGATGGTCTTGGTTGCTTTTGTAGCGCACATACAGTAGAGGCCTACATATTAATGTCCGTCTGTTTTGTTACCAGTTAAAAACTTCTCACAGAAGGTTTAAGCAAGAGGAAACTTTTTGCTTGCTATTAGTGGGAAATATAAATAAAAACAGGAAACCATTTAGTTCTAACAAATTGACAGATTTTCCGTGTTTAGGTTTACATCTGTGAAGGACTGAAGCAGGCAAAACCGCCTTTGATTTGCTGCTCTATTAAAAAAATATATATATGCAAGAGCCAATCACATCAGTAAAACTATTCAAAGGGATAACTGCAACTGTGCGTGACCATGATGTAACGCTGTGTATTAAAAAGGTATATGTGATAAAGCTGCAAATATCATCAACTGCCACTGATATAGAACATACACTCGAGCCATATAACATCCAGACCAAGCAGAAGGCACACACACACACACACACACACACACACACACACACGCATATACACTCATACTCAGCTTGCATGCAGTGACCCCCCCTGCTAAACAAGTTTATTACGACCTCCAAGCCTCGGACAGGCGATAGATCACAGCAGGGGAGGCCGGGGGGTGAATCCATCAAAGCGACTTTAATAAAGACCACTTGATTTGGCCTGCTGGCTCAACAGATGAAATGGTTGTGTTCAGGTCCAGTGAAGCACACCAGAGTGTGAGCTCCACTGCTCCTCTACACATCCCAGTCTCTGTTTATGAGACGGGTTATTTGTAGGCACAGAGGCAGAGACACTCGGTTTAGAGTAACTTTAGAAGGGTTGTTACAATTTCATCAATATTTGTGACAGTCTATAATTTGATTGTTCTCACAGTCGTGCAGTTATAGGGGGATTTCTTGTTTTTACAAATAAGAAATGTCCTTAACAGAGAACTAAAGCGTTTTTCATCTCTTAGCTTCTCTTGCAGAGTGTAAACAGTTCAACAATATAACACTTAAGCTTTGGCAGGTACATTATTGCAAATCCATGTTGTTGGGACAAGAATTACTCAATCTGACACAATTTAATTTTGCATTCTAGTAAGACCTCAAGGTCTTAAGTATTCTTAAAACACCCACGCAAGGAAAGAAAATTATTAGAATGTTTTGCAGAATACATGTTGTTTTGCATTATGCTGGAAGACATTTAGATGGCAGTGTATTCATCTGTTTGACAGATATAACAAGCACATATACTATTTACAGTCTGTAAAATAATGGTTTTCTTTTACTTACTTCCTTGAGGCTATAGTTGAAATATTGCTTTGACATTGTATATTGGAAATATGCTTACTTTTTCTTATTAATTGATTAAGACCAATACAGCTCTCATGTTTGTGCCATGTACAACCAGATATAACCAAAAGTCATCTAAATCTTCACCTTGTGTTTTTTTTTTGTTGATTAACTTAATTGTTCAACCTTTTGTGCAATCTGTGTTTAGGTACTGACTAAAATTACCTTCCTGTTAATTCTGGAAACACAACAAATTAAAAAAGATAAGAGTTTTATGTTTTATTTGTGCTGGACTTATTATTGGACGGGCACAACGACATCTGTGAGCTCTGTTGGTTGCCTGTTGGGTTTTTATAAATGTTGGCAACCCCAGTGGACAAGAGGGGTAATTTATCTGTTTTTTTGAACATATAATCAATTTGTCTTAATTTCAAAAGATGCAACTTGCAATGACAATTGGCATGGACTTTTTGACAGTGTATTTTTTTTGTTTTACTTTAAAATGTATTGTCTGACACATACCCTAAAGCAATAGTCAGTCCTGTCACTGAGTTTCTCATATGCTTTTGTAGGTCACATGTAGGCATCAATATTTATTTCTGACTGCCTTATTACCATTAGTATTTTGAAGTCTGGAACAAAGACAAGCAGCTACTCCAATACTCCTTAATGACTATAATACATTTGATCTGGCACAAAAAGCATTAAAAAACAGATTAAAAAAAAGAAAAATCAAAAAGGTACAAGACTGTGTACAAAAACTTACTTTCAAAAAGTCCAACAAAAATCTAAACAAAAACAGAGCCAGAAAACAAAGAGCCACTGGAAAACTGTAACAACTAACAATGACATACGACATATGACATCTAAGAACTAACTACAACCACATCGTTGGTGGACGGCCTGCCAGAACAACCCCCACCCCACCCCTACCCACTGGATCTTTGGTTGACGGCCTGCTAGAACACCCCCCCCCTCCCCACTGGATTGTTGATGGACAGTCTGCTCCCCTATCCCTCTTCCTGCATCTTATCCCATCTCTCCCCCTATCCCTTTCCAACCCCGGTGCAGTCTAGGCCTGTGAAGGCTGTTTCGGCATGAGCCGGGGATCCGGCCAAAGATTTCTGCCTTTTAATAAGGCAGTTTTTTTCTTACCACTGTAACTTTTGCTGCTTTGCTAAAGTGCTCATGATGGATAGGCCGGGTCTTTGTAATATAGCAATAAGTAAGGTCTTTTTACCTGCTCTTTTGTAATGTTAACAGACAAAGAGTAAGGTATTTTACCTGCTTTTTGTAAAGTGTCTTTAGATAACACTTGTTATGAGATGACACTATACAAATAAATTAAATTAAATTAAATTAAACAGAATTGAATTGAATTGAACATACAACAATGATCTGACAACTCGACAGAAGGAACACTGAGACTAAATAGACATGGGGTAATCAGACACAGGTGAGACCAACAAGCTACAGGTGAAGACAATCAGGGCAATCAAGGCTGGAGGGAAACACACAGAGGCAGGGAGAAAACACAAGACAGCACTGATGACTATGAACTATGAAATAAATCATGAAACACTGAAGACAGAGAACTGGAGAATGTAACAACACACAATAGAATATAAAGAAACATTAGGATACAAAGTTACAAAATAACACACAAAACACTAAAGACTAAACTAGAAAACACATAAGGGAAACACCAGGGAAGAATGGGAACTAAAACAAGATAAATACATCCAAACTCTGAAAAACTAAACTAAACAGACATAATCATGACAGTGTTGTACTATCTTGTGGTTTGTGTTTTTGAATAATTACATTCCCTACGGCATAACAATGTAACTTTTACATTTCTTGTTAACTAACTAACTCGCTAGCCTGCTAGCAAAATTATCTGTTTGCATACGGAGCCAGGATGCGGGAAACATTTCCATGGTGACAGCAAGCTCCACAAATCATAGACATCACTGTAACACTCCATGCAGAGGCGCTGCTAGTCAATAGGCAAGGCAGGCAACTGCTTGGGGCCCCATGCCAGTTGCGGGGGCCCCCAACACCTGACAAACTTTAAACCACAGCATTGCCTCAAAATCTGCAAATTTTGCAAAGGCAGTAGTAAAACCTCCCTAAAGAGGCCCCATCCGATAGCACTCATTCTCAAGCGCTGCATGCATTATTGCTGTTAAAACCAAAATTTGTCAATGTAGGATAATGAGGAGGAATTATCTGTGTTCTAATGAACGCTGCTTGGAGTGGCCCTTAAATGAATTTTGCCCAGGGCCCCAACAGACCCTGGAATCGCCACTGACTCCATGATCATGTGAAGTGTATTTATTTTCCCCCGAAATTGCGAATAAACCATGTTTTTCTTAAAATGAGGTTGATAACATATGAAGGTGCGTCTTCTACAGGAGCATATGCCTTCATTTCACACTCAGGTAGCTCATGGTAAGTCTACCTTGAAAGGTTATGACATCATGGCTTATAATCAAATCCACTATGGAGAAAATGAAGGGGATTTTTACTTCCGGAACCACGACACTATTGAGCTCTATTTTTCAGCAATAGCTGTTGTGTTGTTGTCTCTTTTTTTAAGGCATGCACTGTCAGCAGTGATCTTTTAACGAACCGTTCTACCAATAAAGCAACTCAATTTATTTGAACTGGAACTGACACAGAGAGATAATATGTAATTGGCTGGTGAGGTGAGGGTGGATGTGGGGTAAGGATACATGCATTACTGGAACATGTTGACCTGTTCTTTATATTAACTGATGTGAACAGAGTGTAACCTGGAAAAAAAATCTGCTCAGCTGGTGATTTAAAGCTCGCTTGAGGATTCATCAGCCAACCGAGCTGGACAGATAAATGCAGGAGAGGGGGAGAAAAATGTACAGACAGCCGGAAAGAGAGGATGAGAGAAATGAGAGAATCGGGGGGCAGAGCCAAGTGCTCATAAGTCCTTGTCTTTGCCTACTTGTGCCTCGGTGTCTTTGATTCATAAGGGGTTTGATGGCTGGCTAGGGCAGGGGCCAGATATGGCATTTTGGCAGGAGGAGGAAAAGAGGGAGGGCAGGGGTACTGATTTGTAATAGTCGTG